GCAAATCAAGAGGTGATATAGCGTTCGCGTAATAATACTTTGTGCCTAACATGTGAAAGTCTAGTATTCCATATCTTAACCAAATTTAATCCGTTTACAATGTCTCCATGATCTTAACTTTTGATCTATGGAATCTAGGAAATTTTTATTAAAAAAACGCTCCTAGCGTTTATTTAGTGGGCATATGTAAAAGCTCATAATTTGTATGTTTTATTTTGACATTTCTTCTCATTGCTTTAGATATTTGTATTACAACTTGAAGTAGAAGTGTCTTAGAATATCCTCTTAAAATTTTATATATGTATCAGTATCTTCCTAAAGTGCAGCATAAAAATGACATAATAAATACATAAAAGCAAATAGTAACTATATCATCGTTGAACCAACTGCACAAATTACAAAGTGTACAATGATGCAGTTGGTCTCAGGATAGCTTGATCGTTTGTTCTTGTTCTACTGTTTTATATTTTGATCTCAGCGATTGCCAGAACAACTATTAAGGTCATGATTCAATACGAGTAAACTTCCACACACCTCTCAGTTGGTGGCGATCTTCAATAGTATTATATCACACACATTTAAAGATAAAACAACAGTTATTTTGAACTTAAGAGGGTATAATACAATAGTATCTTCATTTTTGTATATTTTCTTTCCTGCAAACAACTAGCGTTGAGTATATAAGACAAATAAAAAATCTAGGGTTAAAAGCTATAGCACGAAAAAGGCTGTTTTTCTCTTACTGATAAAAGGTGCCCCCCAGTGGCACAGCGGTATGTCTGCGGACTTACAACGCTAGAATACGGGTTTCGATACCCGTGGTGGGAAGAGCATAGATAGCCCACTGTGTTGCTTTGTGCTTAAACTTCAATCAAACAAACAACACTGATAAAAGGGATCTGTGAAAACTAGAATCACGAAGTGGTCATGATAGTATATTCACTAGCCATATATATGAGGAGCGAAATTAAAAATGTACATTAGGTGTTTAACTTCACATCGTCACGTTGCTGATTATACTAATGAAACTGAATAGTTATTAAATATAGACAATTCCTAAACATAATGGCGTGCATTACGTGTCATTAAAAGGCTCTATTAAAGACATCGCACTCTAGGGACTAAGAAGATCTTGCTTCCTGAAGTTACATTTCCAGAGTCTATGAATGTCACATCCTAAGAATACAAGGCTATTATAAGCTACAAAATATGTTCATTAATAACAGTAATAAAACCACTAGTCATTACTTCCCAACAACCGTCAAGCCACTATATCTGCTGTGATTACCGAGTATCTATTTTGTTAATCAGTGGATGACCATTAGCACAGGGGTCACATAAAACCAATATATCGTCTTCACCTAAAATCAACCATCGTATTAATGACATAATAATGAAAACAATTAATCAGGTTAGTGGATCTGATTAGCTTATTCTTGCATTAAATTCGTTTTGAGCAATCCACCAATCTACAAATTATATCGGTATGGTTTTGATTAAAACACTTGTTGTATATAGAGGGAGTTTATAATCTGTATTGCATTATCACGCATCATGGTAGGGAACTACTGCTTAGATTAAAACTTGTACTCGTATTGGAGTATCATGCGCCATGGTAGAGAACCATCGCTTAGATTAAAACAAGTGTTATATTTAGGGGGAGTTTGTACTCGTATTGGAGTATCACACACCATGGTAGAGAGCCATCGCTTAGATTAAAACAAGTGTTATATTTAGGGGGAGTTTGTATCTGTATTGAATTAACATGAATCACGGTAGGGAACTATTGCATATATTAAAACTTGTGTTTTATGTAGGGGGGAGTTTGTACCTGTATTGAAGTATCATGCACCATGGTAGAGAACCATCGCTTAGATTAAAGCACATGTTGTATGTAGAAGGAGTTTGTATCTTTATCGAATCATCATGCATCATGGTAGGGTATAATTACGAAGATTAAAACATGTGTTGTGTGTAGGGGGAGTTTGTATCTGTATTGATTATCACGAGTCATGGTAAAGAACTACTTATCACTTAGAACTAGTTTAGGTATATTATGTGTTATTTTTTATATTTGTAATAATAATAATAGTAATTATACAAATTTCTCATATTTTAGATATTCCTTAACTAGAAGGGTATACTTTAGGTCAAAATCCCCAATTCTGCTTCTCATATGTATTACTGTCAACAGTATAAATTATTCACAGAATACAAGGTAGATTATCGCTCATTTTTTACATTTAAATATTAACAGAAGCTACAGACGGTATTAAAAACTACTCTTAAACTTCTATTTTGTTCTACATAAAAAATGAAGTATTCAATAATACTCATAAACTTATTGGAATCGCTAACCATTGTAGAGAGAACCGTATAACTGTACTGTATTATATTGTACAGTTGTGCTAATAATAATACATTGTACTGTATGGTTGGATAATACACTACATCGTACCTATGGTTGAATATTACACTACATTGTACCTATGGTTTGAGATATTATTAGACTCTTCTAATGATTTCTTATAATAGATAGTGTAAGAAAGTTTACGAAATCAGCAAGCTATCACTAGATAAAAATGTAAAATTAGGAGCAATGCCCAATTTTTTGACGCACAAAGACTGTCAGTAGATAGAAAATAGAGGTTGTTAATCCATTGAACTTTCGGTTTTATCGTTGAAAAAAAAAAGGCACAGATATCCAAATTATATAAAAAAATGTGACCCTAGAATTTCGGTTGATTTTTATTTTCTCCGATGAGGATCTCAGTTTAGTGAAAACGAGAAATATAACTGTTAATGATAATAAGAAAAACATATTTCTAGAATATCGGCTAAAGCTACATGTCTTTTAACAATTATGATCTTCTTTAAATGGAAAAAGAAAACAAGCGTTTCAACATCAGTAGGTTAATAACAAGAAACGATAGCAAATAATGCACTTAAGAATGAATTGTAATAAGAGTAAAACATCAGTTGTAGCTGTTTTTTCGGCATTCTTAAAAAAATAAATACATATAACTTTCTCCAGTGAAGATTATATGAAATTAATTGATAAACTAAAAAGTAATTTATCAACCAACGAGTAAAGTGTACAGTGATGGGGCAGTCAAAGAGAAACTTTTATTCTAATTTAACTTTCAATTTTCGTAACTGCAATTTTATTGCTTCTAATTATTGTTTAACTATAGATAAATAATGTTTATGAACTTAGCTTATACAATAATGATAATTTTTACGAACTTAGCTTATACAATAATGATAATTTTTACGAACTTAGCTTATACAATAATGATAATTTTTACGAACTTAGCTTATACAATAATGATAATTTTTACGAACTTAACTTATACAATAATGATAATTTTTACGAACTTAGCTTATACAATAATGATAATTTTTACGAACTTAGCTTATACAATAATGATAATTTTTAGGAACTTAGCTTATACAATAATGATAATTTTTAGGAACTTAGCTTATACAATAATGATAATTTTTACGAACTTAGCTTATACAATAATGATAATTTTTATAAACTTAGCTTATACAATAATGATAATTTTTACGAACTTAGCTTATACAATAATAATCTTTGCAAAATAATGCAGTATAAAAATGTTTTGTATGTAAAATAGTTGTAATTATCAATGGCTTTTGATAACAAATAAACTAGCTTACTTGTTTCCCACTGTCTTTGATGGTTTATTTGATTAAAACATGTATATAATTTCAAGAAATATTTTTTGATGAACCTTTTATGTTAAAAAAAACATTTATATTTAGGTGCCACATTTATAAGGAGAAGCTGGATTTCTCGAATAATAATGTGATTTCGTTCATGTTTTTGCTCATTTTCTTCATATACTTAAGTAACTAATTCATTCATATTCTTTCTTTATAAACCAGTAATCTCATTTAGCATTAAGTACATTTTTGTACATTACAACTTCATTAGACACAGCTTTTTAAACGTTAATACTTTAAACCTAATGCTTTTCTGTTCTGAATCATTTAATACAGTAAAGTCGGCTCCTTTGTCGTTAGGATTAGAAATAGTGAAAAACTTGCAAACTTACACATCTTTCCCGCCAAGTTTTTCATGTCCCTTTCATGGCCTTAAGTTGTTTATTTCATATTTTCTGTCACAAGTAGATATTTTTTTCCTGTAAGGACATAAATACCGCCATTAAATGGACCTCTAAGTACCAACACAATGTGTAGGATTGTGTGAGATTCTATTACTAAATGATCCATAAGGTAATGGGTGACACGATAGCCAAAGCCTGGAAAGTAACAAATCTTAATCTTGTTAATTCTTTTCGACGTAGAAGACACATGTTGGTCCGTTTGGCGCCACGAACCCTGACCCAGAGAACTAACCCCGATAATTGCCACAAATACAATTAGAAGGCCTTTTTTTTTTGTTTCTGTCACTATGTTACTTTCTGAAAGTGGGTCGAAATGCACTGTTTTAATATAGTTTAATTACTGAAATTATAGCAAGATGGCAATAAACATAAAGATGAATCCAACTGATACAATAGAATAAAGCCTAGCTCAACTTTCATGTAAGTTTACATACAAATATTAGCGCACTTGTAAATTGAAATTACAACAATGAAAATACTAATTATTTGCTACATATTTTTAATTTATTTTCCAGCTTTTAGCCAAATAAAATATTTACATTCATATTAAGTCAGGAGACCATCAATTAACACCATTTATCACTTACGAAAATGTCTTCAAATTTCGATACTAAAACAACTAGAAACGCGCAATAGGCGGAGTTTCAACCTGCCAATTAGAATAGAGGTGGGCGGGAGTAGGAAATGACGTCAGGCAATTTTATTTTCTGCACGTGAGAAACGTTACCAGCATGTTAACAAAGTGCTCGTGTCACTGCCGAGTTGACGTGTACAGCCACGTCTTTTTAACTTTCTGTCTACTCATTTGAAGCACCTAAACACAGCCTTGAACTGATGATTTTGAGACCAGTGTATACAAGATTATTGTGTCTAAATGATATATTTTAAACAGAAATCTCGAAGCAAGTTTCTGATATAGGCAAGCTGTTTTTTTTCACTGAAATTTTCTCAAAGCTTTCCTCTCTTAGTTAACTCAAGAAAACACAACCTAGTGACGCTGAATGCCGTTTAACGTACGTTAGACCCCGAGAGTTCACATTCTTCATGCATCTAAATTATAATATTTCTCTCTATTCAACAAGAAAACACATTTTGACTAGGCCTTTTTTCATACTTTAAATGTAAATATTGCAACATAACACAAGTTTTTGGTATGCTTGTGCATATATAATCATTTATATCAAAACCACATGCGATACTATTGTTCTGTAGCGTGACGAGAATGCAATGCACGTGACAGACATGGCTCTAAAACGCCTTCAGGCGAGTGAGACGTATCTGACAAGGTTTCTTTGTTGACGATTGTTAGTAACCAACTAACCTTTGTACAACAGCCATGTAAGCGATATTGTCAAAGCAATAAATGAAATTCGTAACCTTCTGGGAAGAGTAAGATCAATTTCATACACTATTGAGAAGTTTCATAGAAGCGTAGTAAATAACCTCATCTGAACCTAAAGTATGGCCTACACACACTTTGGCTACTCCTACCATTCATCTTCATCTCAGGTAAGCTATTTCTCTATTCATCACTCAACACATGTAAACCTAATTATTTCTTAGAGGTGGAAGCCCATACTTAAGACATAGATATTAAGAAAATGTTGATTTGAAACGCAAAAATTATAAGAACAATTTGTTCTGTTGTACTTAAGTATATACAGAACTAGAGAAGTATTTTATCGATAATTAGTAATACTGATAATAATTTATATCCCTCAAAGTCAAAGTTATATGAAATTTAATATTTTAGAAATAAAACGTGCATAGAAAAATCGCAAAAGCTAAATTGTTTCTCTCTTTTTTTTTTTTGTAGAAACAAAAATAATGTTGAGCAGAAATTAGTTTCATACATGTTAAAACCTGTTTATATACTTTTAAAAAATGTGCTTATTTTGCCTCTATTACAACTATAGGTATTAGCCCTAACAACTCTTGTCATTTTTGGCGGGTAACGTTATAAAAGCTCGCGTTACATTCAGTCTTACTACTTATAATGTATTACGTACTCCAGAATTCGGTTTATTATTTTGAAAACAGCGTTTTGTCGAATGCGCACTTTGCTTTCCATGCACATATTGTTATTTTGAGCTAATATTCTAGACCCTTTAACGTTTTAATATATTTAGTTTGCCAGATTATGTTTATAGTTTTCGTCTGTTATCTTTTGAAGTAACAAATCTGTAGTGACAGCGTGTATTGAAAGATTCCTTGACTTTTTAATAATGCCATAATTCCTAAACAGCAAGTTTATCATGCAATTGTTTGTTTTCAGGACATTTTCTGAATAGATCGAAATATATTGTTTCAGTATTAGAAAGATTCGTTTTTATTTTTTATCAGAAAAATATCGGATGACATATGTCACCGTTTGTTGTATAGAAGAATCTTTTAGCTAGCTCTCTCAGAAAATAGTTTAGAGAGCTTACTTCGATAATGACAGAAGAAAGAATATCTCTTTGGAATTATGTTGTTATATGCATAAGTAATTGTATATATTGGTGTATAGAAGACATATTAATACTAGAAATCAACGACCTTATAACACAAAAGTATTTAAACCATTTGAAACTTTGTACTGTTAGTTTTGGTTTGTGTTTTAATGAACGTTCCTGAAGAAGTTGTAAAGCGAAACGCCTAATTAGATAAAAACAATATTTTGGTGTTATAAGGTCGTTTATTTCTAAATTAGTATATATTACTGTTCTTCTTCAACAATTAAACTTTCAAGTATTGTTCATCCAGATGGTAGGTAAGTATTTGTTCAAGACTTGGTTAATCAAGTGGATTCCTCACCCAATGTTATAATATGAAACTTATCTTTTCACTGAATCTTACTTTAAGTTGTTTTCTTTTGAAGTTTCTATGTTGTTGTTTTTTTTTCAAACATTCCAGAAAATTGTTAGGTATATTGTAGAGTACAGTACCATTTCATCATAACAATTGAGTTTGTGTGTGTGTGTGTAAATTTTTATCACTTAGATATACCTCTTACACAACTATGGATCGCCTTACGAACAATATACCCCTCACACAACTATGGATCGCCTTACAAACAATATACCCCTTACACAACTATGTACATTTTTGAATAAGGTCTTGAACAAATTCTACTGAGAAATATAATTATAATATCATTTTAACCAAACAAGCCTAAAACTAGGTTGTTGCCAATATTAGGTAATTAATCACGTTTTCATTAAGAGTATGCATTACAAGAAAAATAATTTTTACATTAATCGCATTTAAATTAACTTAAAATATGTTTCAAAAAGAAGTAAAAGACGCGTATTAAACATTATTTTACTGAAAGCTTTGCGTTGATTATTTTCGTACGGATATTCTATTCACGTGATTTAACCATTAGGTGATGGCAGTGTTCATTTTCCATTTCTGAAAAGTATTATAAGACAAAATTGGATGTTGACTTACAATTTTAATATAATTGATATAAATTATTTTTCTATTTTTATACATTGAACAGTTTTCATCATACTTAAACTGGTAAGACAATTCAATAATGTAGTTCATCTCTCGCCCAGTGGCTCAGCGGTAAGTCTGAAGACTTATAACGCTAAAAACCGGGTTTAGATACTCGTGGTGGGCACAGAACAGATAGCCCATTGTGTAGCTTTGTGCTTATCAACAGATAAATAGTTATCTCCCCTCTCCACCAGTAGTAAGGACTGATGTTCATGACTGTTCAGTTTATTTATTCCCGGGTCCCCCGGTGGGACAAGGGTAAGCCTACGGAATTGTAATGTTAAAATCCGGGGTTCGATTCCCTACGTGGACACAGAAGATAGCCTAATGTGGATTTGCTATATTACAAACACATTTATTCCCACACAATTTTCTTCACGCTTGAGAAGTCACCTACTTAACACCGATCTAGAATATACATACAGTTGAGTAAACTAAAGTCACCATAAATCAGACTAAATCTTTCGAACAAATAAAAAAAAAATTCTTCTGTTTTCTAGCCAAGTTATTCACCATCGTTTACAGGACTATTTTGTTTACCCCTGGTGATCTATATAGATAAACCTATAGTTAGCTTAGAAGATGACTGGGCGTAACGACTCATCGGCATGAATTAATAGAAGTTTATTTGACACAGCTAATTGTATCTCTGGCTTTATATGAATTTTATACTTAATGCGCAAATTCAAAATTCTCTACTTGAAAATTTTATACACAAGTTGTGTAACACAACTGTAATTCTGCCTCAAGATAATTGACTGTGTAACACAACTGTAATTCTGCCTCAAGATAATTGACAAGGAGCTTTTACCAATTTTTTTTATTTGTCAAAGGTGGTCACACGATTAAAAAAACATTAATCAGTCACATATACTTACAATGTGTTTTTTTCTCTCAAAGACATTTCATGTGTGTTTGTACATATATATCATACCGTGTTTACTTAGCTGACAATTTCAAGTAAAAAACAAAAAATGCGAGAACTTGAACTGTCACAGCAATCAACAAAGTACTCAATGAATAGAGTTTTATATATTTACTAAAAATTAGAAATACAGGCCAATCACGAGTACATACCAATGATTGACTCATGTTCGAAGTTCTCGCATTATCCTCAATGTTACTTTTCTCAACCTTAGCCGAGATATCATATTTCCGATATATCTTAAGGTACACAGTAATAAAATCTGCCACATATATTTATCTTCGTAATCTTTGGTTTATGCTGCAGTAACATTTATAGAAGAAATTATTAATGTTCACCGTGTATGTATGAAACACATTAAAGCTAAATTATTTTGTAACGTTTCAGTCAAACAAAAATTCAGTAAATGTATATACTATCATATGAAGCTGCACCCAAACATTATACATAATATCATAAAAATATTTGATAAATTAATGTGTAATAAGTATACATATTACCGACGAAACGCGTTATCTTAAAAAAAGTAATATATTTAAATAAAACATACCATCACCAAAAGTAAATTTTATAATATACACATTATCACCAAAAGTACATTTTATAATATACACATTATCACCAAAACTACATTTTATAATATACATGGTGATGGTGTGTATATTATAAAATGATGTATTTTTTGTGATGGTAAAAGTACATTTTATAATATACACACCATCACAAAAAGTACATTTTATAATATATACATTATCAACAAAAGTACGTTTTATAATATACACACTATCGCCAAAAGTATATTTCATAATATACACACTATCACCAAAAATGACATTCAATAAACAGTGATACTATCATTCAAGAAAATTAATATTATATACACTATTATCAAAATTATCAGGCTTAATAACTATGCATACGACAGCCAAAATTGATAGATTCAATAAATACACGCAAAGACATATTAACTAAATAGCAAGAATCATCTGTGTTGTGAGTTGTCTTCTCTCTCGTTTCACCATGAACTCACTTCCAATTAATACTTATATACTCCTGTTTCACCATAAGCACACTACTAAATGAGCACTCGTCTGCTCCTGTTTCACCATAAACTCACTTCGAAATGAGCACTCGTCTGCTCCTGTTTCACCATAAATTCACTTCCAATAAATACTTATATATTCCTGTTTCACCATAAACTCATTTCCAATAAATACTTATATATTCCCGTTTCACCGTAAACACGCTTCCCACGAATACTTATATATTCCTGTTTCACTATAAATTCACTTACAAGGAGCACTTCCAAAAATGAATTGTTAATATGACTCTCGAAACAATATTAAAAATGTACTTTGATCATTTTAACGTTTTATGAAAAAAAATTATGCAGAGCAAAATTTTGTATATTTTGATTTTTGAGGAAAGTGTTTTAGGTATTGTAGACCCGACATCACTTAGGGAAAACATAATGTATCTGTTGCAAGTAATTTTATGGTTCACAACAAAATTGAAATATAAATGAATTATCATATCGTTTTTAGAATTGGTAATAACAATATATTTTCCAGAATCAAGACTTTTCTATATATTATATAATTGCTTGAATACCTCACTATTTAAAACTAGTAATACTTCGGGTAAAAATTAAGCAAGTTCACAAAATACTGTTAATACTAAATTCAATTGCTTCTTTTTATTTAAAAAAATCAAATGAGGTTTTAGCACTCATGTATTTTTATATTTCAAATTAGTTGCACCAGAATAAAGTTTAGCTAAGCCTTTTTTTGTTGTTGTCAGATTGCCCAGTCTTGACATATCTTTATAAACGAATGAGAATATTTGAATCTACCTCGGGGAGGTCCATGTGATACCTTTAGATTCTGAATTGTTTAAATGAGTTATCAAACGATCTTCAACCATGAAACCAAAGAAACAAATAACCAAACATATACACAAGTCAACTATTAGAATGTTACTTTATATTACTTGAGAATAATCTACTGACTAATAAATACGATCTTATACCCTCTGTCTGCCTAATGCTGCTTGTTTAAAATGTCTCGTTAACACGTAGAAACTCGCTGTAATTTCTGACACG